CCTAAACAAAGCATCAAAGAAACGTTCCCAACTCAGTAATATACAGGATGAGATTCTGGACATTTTGTTACATTTTCCCGGTTGTACATCCCCACCTCAAGGACGTGCGAAATCTGCAAACTATAGGTGAAATTAAACTAATTACTTGGCATCCTATGCGACTTAAGTGCACGGTTGTACCTCTCTGTTTGATAATAAAGATAAAAATGACGTTGCTAAGAGTAGGGTTTTACTTGCCCGATCCTGTATATTAGCATGGACAACTTTACGTAGCTTTCTCAAGAGTAAAAACCGTTTCTCCAATTTTTGTAACTATCAAGAAAAGCGAAACGCAATTTCAAATGTTTCTAAGGATGTGCGGTTAATTGTTCGAAGATAATTTGTCTATAATACTGAATAAACCTTTATTGAAAATTTGTTTCGAACACCAGTTGGTTTTTGTTTTTTATTTGATATTCTGTAAGTATAATGGAAGTTCCTTTATACATTGTTTGAACAAATAAATATGACTCGTTAACAACTTTCCCCTTAATATGGAAATGGAAGGGTAGGAAAGAGTTCTCGCACGCTTTCGCTAGATAATTATATTACTACAGCTGTGAGAGTCATGAGCTTCATTACGAGTGGATTTGTGTTTTTCGAAGGAAAGAAATGAGAAAGACTCAAAGTCCATCCCAGTAGCAGGGAAATGTATCTACAGGGACGAAGAAAGACAATGATAAGTCACAGCGCTAAATCATCAGGAAATGAGAATAATAGTATATGAGAGAGAGAGAGAGAGAAAGAGAGAATGAAAAGAGAGAAAACAAGAAAGAGAAAGAAAGAGAGAGGGAAACAGAGTGAGAGAAAGATAATAATAAAAGGAGCGCCTAAATGAGGAGAGAGAATCGAAAAGAGCACGAAAATCCGACAGATCCGGGCTATACCAGGATGGATCAAGGTATCCACTACAAGAGAGAGAGAGAGAGAGAGAGAGAGAGAGAAAGAAAGAAAGAAAGAAAGAAAGAAAGAAAGAAAGAGAAAATAAAAAGAGAAAGAGAGAAAAAAGAGTGAGAGAAAGAGAGATACAGACAATAATAATAATAATAATAATAATAATAAT